CAAAAAAGTGACCATTTTTCCTAATATCAGGGTGAGGTTGGGATATTGGTAAAATAGTCTGGAAACACAAGGCTTAGGAGTGCTAGGAAAAAGCACTGCTGTGTTGTTTTGGGAGTCATGAGGTTCTGTATAATCAAAAATTTTCAAAGGCCCTGTATGTGCTGGACACTCACAAGTCAGAGGTGAGAAATACTTTGGAATGACCAGTGCTGAAATAGCAATGCACTGAATACTTTTTTCTTCACATCTGTCGTTGTGCTTAATATGCCCAACAGGATGAAAAATGTGTTTAAAAATAATTTGAGAATAAAATTGGCCAGTGAAGATGGTATTGCTTTTTACAATTGGAGTTCAATTTTTCAGGAATGTATCACAAGGAACAGTAAAATGACAGACATAGATTGAAACAGTGTGGTTGTGGAATTCAAAGGTAGCTCTGACAGAGAGGATTTCATTCAGCTCAACCAGACAGATTTAAGGCTGATAAAATGAATTTGAAACCAAATGAAAAGAAACTGTCACCGAATTGAACTGTGATTACTTTCTGGAGATCTTTCAATACCTAAAACCAAGACACTGATTTAATCACTACAGATATGTCTTCACCAAAAAAACCCCAACAAACGAACAACAGATTTTGGGGTTTTGTTCTGAAGGAGGGAAATGCACAGAGAGGATTATTGCTAGAAAACTTTTGGCTTTAAGAGTTGCCTTAAAAAATTCCTGAAGTTAATAATGGGTGAATAGCAGCACTTCAGAAAAAACTGAAGCTGAGCTTATTGCTTGCATTTCCTTCAAATAAATAAAACTAAACTTAAACAGAGACACTTTGTGATGATAAATCACCTTCCAGTGGGGCTGTGGGGTCTGTCACTGACAGCAGGTGAATGTATGGCTTGGGCTGATTTTCCCTGTTTGTTCATAGTACCTGTGATTTAACTCCTAAATTCACCTGGTTTCTGTTTTTGCTTAGTTGAACATTAGTGTAATTCATGCACTGCTAAATAACTTCTCTCAAATAACCTGTTTAACTGTTAAATAACCAGTTTAGACTGGTGAATGGCAGATTTCATGTATCACTCAGTCCATAACTGCCCAGATCCACACGGGTCCATCTCTCTGTGTGCCCTGGACACTGCAGACACTTTCCTCAGGCCTTTCTTTAGCCCCCCCTGTGCTTTCAGCAGCCCCTCTGAAGGCAGAGCCTGCAGCTCAGCTCTGCTCCTCAGCTGGCTGGGGCAGGCAGCCCAGATTTCTTTGCTTTCCCCCTTTCTCAGGTTGTGCTCAGGAGCCCACGGGCTCTGTGCCTGCACCTGCTGAGCATCAGGAGCTCTGGGGCTGCTCCTTTCTGTCTTTCCCTTTTCCAGTGCTGAGAACAGCCTGTTCTGGGACAGGATCGACCAGAATGCAAACAAGATAAGGAAAAATCACCTTTCTGTCCTTCAGTTTTCTCTGTTGGAGGGAAGGTCATGTGGGTAGTGGGTGAGAGTGTCAAACATAAAGCTTTTGGTAAAGTGTATAAATGATGTATTGGCATTTTGACAAATAACTTCTGGGTGCTCCAGTAATATTCCTATGACACTCATGTATCAAGTTACTCATATTTTAAAATGAAATATTCTTTCTCAAATAAAATAAATAAAAACTTTTATTTAAAAAGTTTTTAAATAAAAACTCCCCTTCATATAAAAGAGGAATAAAATATAAAATCATAATAAAATCAAAATTCATATAAAATCGCTTTGCTGTTTCCTGTTGTCTCATTTTTCTTAGGATAAAAATATTAGGAAAATATTTCTTAGGAAAAAATATTTTTTTCCATATATTTTTCCCTTTACGTTTCATATACCTACAAGAAATTACTTTAAATACATCTCGGTATGTACTGTAAGCTCATCATACAAAATACAGAATTGAAATTAAAAAAAAAAATAAAATCACAATGTGATATCTTTGCCTTATGGATGGCACCTGTTTGGACAAAAAATGGCTCTGAAAAATTGTGGTTAAACATGAATTTGAAGCATTAGGATGGATTCAGTTTTTATGGATGTATTCACTTCTAATTGTTATGGCAACAAAGAATTTGAAAATACACATTGATATGTTGCATGTCAGATATGTATTTGCTGATCAAACATGCTGACAAGTGTGTTACCAAATAAGAAAATTGTATACTCAAAAATAAATACCTTTTTTTAACGCTGCATGGCAATTAAAGGACCGAGTGTACCAGCACAGGTTTGCGTGTCACATACTTGGTTTTTACTGTGAATCTGCTTCAGGCTTGCTGTAAATTTGTATGTAATCTTTTTCTTACCCTATGGGCATAGATACTCCAGGGAAGAATGCAAATTTTCTTTTAAAATGGTTCTTTTTTAGCTGTGCAGAGAGCCTGTTGGTAGGATGGATCAGAGGTGTCTGTGGGCACAGGGGTAGGACCAGAGCCCTGACTCATTTCCAGTTCAGTTTCCTCACTGGTGTAACAGGAGCTTCCCAATTCTGCCCCTCACCTTTCCCACCTGGAGCTGACCCTTATAAAACACTCCACACCTGAGCAGTTCTAGGTAAGAACTGTTCTAATTATTATTTCATTTTTAAGAGGCTTCCTGCTACATAGGAAATGCAGAGCAGATGGAGAGATGGAGCTGTTATCTGTGGGACACTGCAGGCTAAGGATGCATTTCATTTAATATCACTTTTATTATACATTGTACACTCAGCTGTATTTTTTTTCTTTCTCTAAGGAGAAGTGATAGGGAACATAAGAATACAGGAATGGTCTGCAGAGATAAGTGTATTGCAATTTATTCTTGTGTTGCTGGCACTGAATACTGGAGCAGATTTACAAGTGGAATTTGCAGAGGGGAAAAGTTATTGTTGTCCCCATCTGTAAGGAGAACTGGTCCAGTGATTTGGACTATGTGACATAATTTAAATTCAGTTTCCCCTTCCACTGCAGATTTCCTGGATTTCCTTAAGCAAGTTGCTTTTCTCATAGGGCAATTCTCATCTGTAAATTGGGAATAATGGAATTTTACTCAGAAATTGCAGAGGTTGTAGAGCTGGGCTCAGAGAGCTGGGGGGGCTCTGCTGCTGCAGCCTCAGGGCCAGGAGGCTCTGAAAGGCAAGAGAAACTTCTAGAATTAACTCAATGAGCTGAATTTAGACTGTCTGTGCCTAGGGCTGGAACTACCCAGGGCAGAGGAGCACGGGGAGAGGGAAACTTTCAGATGAAGATTCAGGTTTTTGTTTCATTCAGAAATCCCAACAAACTGCCTTTGGCCCAATTTTTGTGGCCAGTGCCCTGATACGTGAAATTACAGCTACAAAATGTGTTCCTAAGCAAAAAATTCATGGAAAAGTATGTGTGTTTTTTGAGGAAGAATAAAGTGTAAATGTTAAATTTGTTGAAAAAGCACATAAAGAAAATTAAAATTCATTTGTTAAAATGAAATGCTCAACATTTCCTCCAAAAGTCCTTTATAAATCACACACTTCTGAAACACACCAAATAATAGCACCCCAGATTCACAACAGTCAAAGTGAACAACTTCCACACTAAATAGCAGTAAAATGTTATTTGAAAGCGCTGATATACAGTATATTAAATAACAAAGATGCTGACACAGCCTCAACTGTAGTAGTTCTAATTACTGCACTACGCCATGCTACATTATATCACATGGCATAATTTAGTGTATCTTCCTTTGTCAGTGTATTACTCATCATTTTACAAATTACAACTCTTTTATAGGAAGGTAATTCATACTTGGACATAGTGCTAAAATGATGGAGTGTTTTCCTTTTTTCTCAATCACTGATCTTTCAAACTTTTGCATTTAGCAGTATTAATCATGTTTATTAGCCAAGTGTTGTCATAAAGAATAGAATTTCTCTGTTACTTTCATATTCAATTAAAATAGTTTTTTGCTTGCTGCCTCTATCTGCTGCACTCCAGTAATCTATTTACTTATTCTAATTGAGATCCTTGTTCATAAATTCAAAACAAAATCAATACTGCAGTTAAATGTTTTTCTAACAATCTATAATCTAAGTGACAGTGTGGGGTGTACCTGAGAGGGGAGGGATCTTAAAATACCTTTTAACTCTGGAAATGTTCAGTCTAACTTTTTTTAAGTGTTCAGTTTTGTGGACCAGATGTATTTTGGAATTCAGTAACATGGTCTACTTAACCTGCTGTTTAAAAGGAATTTGTTATTCAAGTGTGTAATACTGGAAAAACTACAGTCTGTAAAATTGCTGCAGAAGACCAGACAGAGATTCGAGACACCAAGTGCTGTTTTCTAGACTTTGTGCTTGTTGTAGACATTAATTACTATGCATAATAGATATCTGGACTCCTGAGTTGAAATTGCTGAATATTGATGATTTCCCAGCACAGCCTGTGCCCCGCTCTTTTAACCCACAAAGTGAAGGGTTTCACATGGGGCATCCCCAGGGTCAGGCCCAGCAGCGGAGGGGGAGCTACTGAAGCTCAAGGATAACCAAGCTTGAGGATAAACTGCAGTAAACTCTTCAGGGCTGAATTCCTGCTGGAATGTGGTGACACTGGAGGGAGGGAATGGCCAAGTGCCTCCAGGATTGACAGTGCAGAGACCTGATGAGCACAGGGGTGGACTCAGATGAGCGTTTGGCAGGGACTGGTGGCCTCGTGTCCTGTGATAGCAGGAGGGGGTGACTCAGCCTCTCAGATATTCCCATTCTGATAGTTCATTTAGTCATGACTGATGATTTTGTCCTCAGACATTTTGCTTTTCCTGTTTCCACAAACCAATGTTTTGAAAGTAGGTGATGCTGAAAGTGTCTAAAAATATTTTTCTGCCCATGCTTGCTTACTAATTTATTTTTTGAAAAATTCAGGTGCAGGTTCCAGGTGCTCAGCTGTGGTAAAGGAGTGTTGGCTCATTGCTAACCAAGCAAAATATCTCTGAATAAAGGTACATGCCACTCATGGCTTGTTGTGCCCTGTTTTGCAGGTGGCAGTGAATCCTCCTGGGACAAAGACAAGCTGCAGTCTCCCATCACAACGGGATCCCAGCACAGCATTGGGCACCCCACGCTGTCAGGGCAGTCCAGCCTTGGGAGTGCACACCCGCTCAGCCCTCTCCAGCAGAACCACCTGCTCACCAACAGTACGTACTGGGCTCCTGCTGGGAAAAAGGAGTGCCTGGAGCCCTGCTGGGAGCTGGGCTTGCCTTCCTTCCCAGCCCCAGGGAGCGGGGAATGATGGGGGACACGTGAGTGACAGGAGGGTCAGGCTTCCACTGCCAGCTGCACTTGGGTCGCATGTCCAAGCCACCCTCTGCCATCCAAATACAAGTGGCTATTCCCTCCTGGAATACTCAGTCACTCACCACTGGGTTTGGGACTGTCAGACTTTAATTGTCATTTCCATGGCATTGGATTGAAAGGAAAAATAATCATAAAGTTGCTTAAAATTTTAGCTATGTGAGAAAATTCTCTTCCAGATGGAAATGCTGACCCAGCAAATGAAATAGGAGAGCAAGGAATAAATGCAAAATGTCCAGTTAAAAGGTCATGCACTGAACCCAGCTATCCAAAATGACTGGAATAAAATGACACAGGCTGGATTTGGAACTTGGAGCTCCCCAAAAAGCCATTTCTTTTCTTTCCCTTAGGAAGGGAGCAGGTGGGAAGCCATCAGTTCCACATCTGTGTGCCCAAAGAGGGAAGGAAGGGAAGGAAAAAGTATTCCAAGAAAGATTTGATTTGGGATTAATATTTTAAAGATTATTTAGGAGTAAAGTTATTCCTATAGTTGATGATGGATGAAGAATGGAAAGCTCATTTATGGACTCTTATTGCTTGTTTAAGCTCTTTATCCTCCAAGTTCTGAAAGTTGATTTTTGGTTTTAGTTTAGTGGATGAGTGACATTTCTGGATCCTTACACAATTTTTGGAGTAGTCAGTTCATTGCTGCCTCTGTCAGGCCCCAGACCTGAGCAAATCAGAGCTATTGAAATGACTCCTACAAAGTGAGTCTGCTTTGTTTGTGGGAAGGGGTGGATCTGAGCATTTTGGTTTAAGTGTCAGTAGTTAAAAATCACCAGGTCATGGGACTCAAATTCTCTGTGTTTGTCCTTTCAATTTATATTCTTGCATAATTCAATACCTGGATTTCTTTTACACACAGACACATTGTGTTCTTTGCTCTTAAGGATATTTTCCAGTGGATTTTGTAGTAGGTGAATGTCTATAGGCTCTTAAAGGGTTTACTGGATGTCAGACATTATGCCCAATGATTTGCAAGTGCAGGATATATTTTCCTCATAGTCCTCTGAAATGTTTGACGGATTGTGTCTTAAAACTGGTGATGTGCTGTTAAATTCTGTTTGTAGTTTGCATTTAGTTTGCATGTCAATTGGACTTTAAGTAGACATACAACTCAATGTGGCCAGATGGTGTCTGGGAGTTTTGGAACTCTATAGAGGATGAGGAAAGATTATTGGGCTGTTAAGGGAGATCTGCAGGGGAACAAAGGCTTATGGATGCAGGCACTGGAGGGGATTGTCAGAGTGGTTTGAAGTGAGGGGAGATGTATGTGGGCATTGCTTATTGCCTATCATAATTAATATTGGCGTGGATCATCATATAAAATAGAGAGTGAGTCATTAGACATCACAGTTGTTGATCATGATATGCTCATGTTAAACAGGAATAGTGTGGGAGCTGGGAATATTGCAATTCTGCCTTTCCTGGTGGGCACCGTTGTGTTTTTATATCACTGGAGTCAAATTCTGTAGGAATAAGATAAGATATGTCAGTCAGTGGCATTTTTTGTTGTTAGTTCTGTCATACACCAAAAACTGGCCTTCTGGTGACTGGCCTTCTCCTTTAAAATATTTAGGATAAACCCAAACGTTGCAAACTTTTTAGCAATAAACATTCTCAATGGTTTGTGGTAATGACTAGCTATATGTTTGTGTTATTTAATACTTGCACCTGAATTTTTTAATGAGGATTTCTAATCTAAATGTCATTTAGAAAAATGATAAGACATTTTTGTCTGGCAGAGTGGGTCCTGATTTTTGGGGTTTTTTTTCTGAAAAATTAATTTTGGATGCCCGATAGTAGCTATCTCCAAGTGGTCCCTCTAAAGAACTCTTGAATGCACAACAACCTGAACAATTTTTTCAGTGAATTAGTGTCTTGGTCTTTCTTTCTAGGGCAGTCATTACTAAATACAAGAAGTAATACACATGCTGAAATGGATATTAATGAAGTATGAGAATCCAATTCTTGCTAGCAGTAACTTCACCTTTTTGGCAGTGTCAAGATCTGCAAGTTGATCCAAATAAATTTCATACCTTCTTAAATTGGTTTATATCCATAGCAGAAGACAATTTAAAGTGACATTTTGAAAATTAAAACCTCTGGCAACAATTTTAACCTCTCATTACGTGTTGCAGTTCACAGACCTTCTGTACAATAGCTCAGTGGTGTCTGTAGTCCAAGCCACAGCCTCCTGGATTTGAGAAATAGAGTGTAAGAATTTAGTGTGACATTGCTGAAAACTGGTAATGGGAAGAAGTCTTGGTAGGAGTGTATGATCAGATAAAATTATTAATAAATATTCATCTGATATGTTGGAAAACATGCAAATTATATGCATAATTTTTTCTTCATTTCCCTTAACTAAAGAGATCACTGAACTGGCGCAGTGTATATTCATTTTCTGTCCCTCCCCAGCTGTGTGTTCCTCTCCCCAGCACAAACCAGCCTTTCCTGGGCTGCACAGACAATTATCCCCTGTGGAACCATAGAATTGATAAGAATTGCTGCTGTTGGGCTTGAGTGGTGGATGTTGCAGTGGGATGTGACAATCCTCAGAGTGTCCCAGGGGCATGGTGGATGTCCTGGGCCCTCGGGGTGTCCTAGTGACATGGTGGAGGATATTGTGGGCCCTCAGGGTGTCCCAGTGACATGGTGAATGGTGTGGGCCCTCAGGGTGTCCCAGTGACATGGTGAATGGTGTGGTCCCTCAGGGTGTCCCAGTGACGTGGTGGATGGTGTGGGCCCTCAGGGTGTCCCAGTGACGTGGTGGATGTCGTGACCATCAGGGTGTCCCTGGGACATGGTGGATGGTGTGGGCCCTCAGAGTGTCCCAGTGACATGGTGGATGGTATGGTCCCTCAGGGTGTCCCAGTGACGTGGTGGATGGTCTGGGCCCTCAGGGTGTCCCAGTGACATGGTGGATGGTGTGGTCTCTCAGGGTGTCCCAGTGACATGGTGGATGGTGTGGGCCTCAGAGTGTCCCAGGGACATGGTGGATGATGTGGGCCCTCAGGGTGTCCCAGGGACAGGGTGGATGGTCTGGGCCCTCAGGGTGTCCCAGTGACATGGTGGATGGTGTGGGCCCTCAGAGTGTCCCAGTGACATGGTGGATGGTGTGGGCCCTCAGAGTGTCCCAGGGACATGGTGGATGGTCTGGGCCCTCAGGGTGTCCCAGGGACATGGTGGATGGTCTGGGCCCTCAGGGTGTCCCAGTGACGTGGTGGATGGTGTGGGCCCTCAGAGTGTCCCAGTGACATGGTGGATGGTGTGGGCCCTCAGAGTGTCCCAGGGACATGGTGGATGGTCTGGTCCCTCAGAGTGTCCCAGTGACGTGGTGGATGGTGTGGGCCCTCAGGGTGTCCCAGTGATGTGGTGGATGGTCTGGGCCCTCAGGGTGTCCCAGTGACATGGTGGATGGTATGGTCCCTCAGAGTGTCCCAGTGACGTGGTGGATGGTGTGGGCCCTCAGAGTGTCCCAGGGATGTGGTGGATGGTGTGGGCCCTCAGGGTGTCCCAGTGACATGGTGGATGTCGTGACCCTCAGGATGCCCCAGTGACGTGTCCGTGCTCTCTGCAGGGATAGACCTGCCCTTCATGATGATGCCGCACCCCCTGCTCCCCGTCAGCCTCCCCCCGGCCTCGGTGGCCATGGCCATGAACCAGATGAACCATCTCAACACCATCGCCAACATGGCGGCGGCGGCGCAGATGCACAGCCCCCTCTCCAGGGCAGGGGCCTCCGTCATCAAGGTAAGGATTGCTCGTGGTGTGCAGGGATCTGCAGCGGTGCTCTCAGCGAGGAGGAGGATGGGACACTGGGTTCACACTGCTCCAACTCACCTGGGCTGCTCCCAACACTGAGCAATACCCACACTGCAGCCAGGGAGTTCAGCTGCTCTGATCTGTCAGTGAGTCTGTAATGTAATTAAAAATGGACACTGACATTCACCAGGCTAGAGTAAGATCTCTGAAAGCTTCATAAATCTTCTGAAATGCTGTTTAAAGTCAAATTTAAGAGAAAATGCTGTAGGACATGGCTAGAATTCTAGTGCACTGCAAATCCAGAACAGGTAAAATAGCAGAGAAAATTATCACAAGTACCTAAGTGAGGCTGAAGAACAAAACTGAAATTCTAGCAGTGCAAATCCAGAGCAGGTAAATACCTGAGTAAATAATCATAAGTACTTCAATAAGTAGAGTCTCTGGTAGCCAAAGCTTTAATCAACCAGAACTTCCTTCTGGTTGGTTAAAACATATTTGTATTTTGTAAGGCTTGTTGTAGTCTCTGCCAAGTAGGCTGTTCAGAAAGGTTCTTGCCTGTGTGGAGAGTTGCTGTCCTGTCACACACTCAAAAATGCATTAAAACAAGAAATTTTCAAAATAGAAGTGTGTAGGATCAGTGTATGTGAAGGATTGGTGTGATGGGATTCTCTAAAACAGTGTGTCCACTTTTTACTGAGCAAAAATTAAAGGTGTTACCAGTCTGACGTGTGTGTGTGTATTTGCATGCACATGTGGGTTTCTTGTTGACAAAGTAAAATGCTGTCAGCTTTGAAAGTTCATTAGTTTAATCCATTTTTCTTTGGGTTTAAATATATGAGTCTATAGAGCTATCTGTTCTGGAAAGTAAATGTCTTCAATATTTGTGTTCATTTAAACTCATCTATCCCTGTCACTCTAGAATCTGACTTCTGAGTTGCTTTGTTCTTATAACTCTCACTGATTAGCTGAACTGATTTGCTCTCACATCTTTATTGTAAAACATCTTAATTTTAGTGTGTCATTATTTTATCCTTGAGAAAGTCACTGTTCCCAACACTACAGTCCAGTTGTGAGAATACATTAGTGAGGGTTGTGTTGCACTTCCCTTTGTCACAGGCTGGTGCTTCAGGAAATTTTGTTTCTAAATCAAGCAGGGAAAGAAACTTGCAGTGACCAAGCACGTGTTTGTTGTTCATACCCATGTGTTCTGATAGCAGCATCCTCTCAAGGGGGACAGCAAATGTCTCCTGTCACATCACTGCAGTAAAATTCTATATCCCTCTGTTGTTGAGGTTCTGGAGAGGTTTGTTTTCCTTCTGATTTGCTTTCTGGCCCAAAGCATCTCCAAAATTACCTCAGATTGTTTCTCATTTTTACTGGGAGTCCACTTCCAGATTAGGGCAAATATTGTTCTGAATGCTGTGGTTTTGTTGACTTTTTTTTTTCCTCCTGGATTCTAGGGAGGCTGGGAAAATTCAGGAGTGACATTTCCCATTAGGATCCCTACTTAGGATTAAGATGTGTAAAAACTTCTCTTTATCATCATTGTACTTGCCCAGTTGTTGGCTGGGTGGAGAAAACATCTCTTTCTGATGTCCAGCTGTATCTTAGTTAATGCAAGTCATTAAACTATTAGAAATTAGTTGAAATTCCATTCATTTTAAACCATAACCTTTCCTTTAAGTGTTCAGAGACCTCTTGACAAAACCTTAATTTAAACACAGCAGTGGAATATTTGTAGCAGCAAGTAAACTTGCAGAAGCCTTGATTGTATTCTAAATGTTACCAGTATGTCAACATGAAGATGAAATACGTATTTGTAAACAATTCCAGTCCTTTGTAATTTAAACTGCAGTTTTTGCAGGCAGCTGGGTTTCAGGGTGTTATTTAGCAGGCCCTTGCTGATGGGAGTTACTCATTTACAGCAGTTTTTTCCCCAGCACCTGCACCAGAGGAGACACAATATCTCCACAGCAACACGAGGCCTGGCCAGCATTCTGGTGGGAATTATTTCCTCTCATGTTGCAGAGGAAAATGCACCAGTAGCCAACGTGACAGAGGCAGAGTGGGCATCCTTTGCTGTTTTACTCTCACCTGTCAAGTGGTGCTGCATCTTTCTCTAGTTTGTCCTGAGTGCTGAAAGTGTAGATGCATTTTGTTACAATGTGAGGCTCCTTTTGTCCTCTCCTTCCCCTATGTACAATTTCCAGCACAGAATGATGACCTGTTAACATCAAATTCTTGTACGAAATGAAACATGTTAAAAAAAAAAAGAAAAGCATTCCTGTTCCTGCTGTCAGTAATACTTTTATTACAGGACATTATTTAAGTCCATTTAATAAGTACAAAACATAGCTAGTTTTCAATAGAGTGCAATACCAGCACCATGTTTTTACTTAAAATGGGAGAAATGAATCAAATATATTGAGTGTGTGTCTGTTTCCATAGTCTGATGACTAAAATACCACTTGGCCTGTTTTCTATAGGTGTGAGAATCAGCTGCTTTGTAAGGTTTTGAATGAAGTCATTATGCTTTTTATATCACGTTTGCCATTTAGAAATAAGCTGTTCTACCAAGATATGCATGATCAGCAAAGTTAACATTTAGTGCTCCAGAAAGAAATGTCATAACTATGAAACTTGATTTCTCCCTGACAGGAACACCATAAATTAGGGAGGCACAATGGCCAGGCTCACAAAACCTTCTTAGCCATCCCTAACGTGATGTGATGTGATTATAGCAGCACCAGCAGCACTGTGGCTGCAGGTCTGGCAGTGCCCCTGTGATAAATCCAGCCTTACAGGGATGTACTGCACATCTGAAGAAGATTGCTGGGTTTGAGACTTGGCTCAAATGGCTCAGGGGAATCTCTGTTATTGAGGCTCTCATATGGCCAAAGCAGAATTTGACAGGGACACTGAGTTCACCACCCTCTCTCTTCTCCCTCCTGGATCCACTTCTTATTATTTCTTCATTTTCAGAGCTGTTCTTCAGCTTGACCTGCTCTGCAATCCAGGAATGGCCTGGATGCCAAATGAGGATCAGTCTGGGGTAGAATTTGACTAAGTACACTTGAGTCATGATTTGGGCTAGAAAGAGCAAAGGATGGATGCTCAAGGCCAGGTTGGGTGGAGCACCCTGGCCTCATGGAAGGTGTCCCTGCACCTGGCAGGGGTGGAATGAGGTGACCTTTAAGGTCCTTCCATCCCAAACCAATTTGTGATTCTATGAATAAATGTAGCAGTTCACTGTTACAGGATAATTTTGTTCCTGAAACTCAGAAAAATCTACTCAGTGGCAATATTTTCAGAAGGAAAGTTGGGATGAGCCCTTTACAGAAAAGTGATTTTTCACTGAAGTTTGTGAAACACTCAGCTCCAGAGAGCAGTAGCTAAATAATATGAAGATTTTTATTTTACAGTGCACCTGTAACAGATATGACCTTACATGACTAAAACCACTGGTTTACACAATTCCAGCCAAAGAGCAAGGAGAGGGCAGGGGAGAGGTTTGGGGTTAGGAAGGTGGAGGGAAGGCTGGCAAGAGCCAAGTCTGGGGCTGTGACTGTGATAATCTTGCATTGTTCACTTAAAGGCCACTTTCCCTGATGTGCTTGGGAACAGGCTGGTGGGAGACACTGAAATACTGGGTTAGGCTGGGCTTGAAATTCTGGGAACCAAACCCAAACCAGGCCTTAAGCTGCTCCTTTTCTGTTAGATATGCAAAGAGTACTGAGAGTAATGAGGCAAAACTTCATGCCAGAGATCTGAGACTTAATTTCTCCCAAATCTCCCCTGCTTCTCCTTTTACTTACCTGACATATTTTGCATCCTGCTTCCTCCTCTTGCTCACGTCTCACCCTCTTCCTCCTCGTGCTCCCTCCCTTTCCTTCTGGCAAAGAGCCTCTTTGGAGCTGCTGAGGGATGTGCTTCTCCTGAGTAGGAGTAGTTCTGAAAATTGGTTTCCTGCTGTCCATTTTTCTTCTGTTGTCATCCCCTCATGCTTGCTGTATTCCTGCTTTTCTCTTATCTTTCTTGCTCTCGTCAAGGTCCCAGTTAGGAATAAATGGTGCTTTTGTTGAGTGCAAATGGGAAACACAGAAAAAAACCAAAAAACAGTAATTAAAATGCTTTAAAAAAGACAGCATTTTCATATTTCTTAATTCTTTGAGAATTTCACCCCAAGGCAGTTCAGAAACTAATCTGATAAATGGAGTAAAGCATTATTTGTACAGTGGGATCTATCTAGACATGCTGTAGAGACTTCTGAGTCTCCTTCTCTTTGAGTTTTGTTTTTCTCCTGATTTTGTGGGATTGTTAAGGCATTTGTAAAGGGTGTATATGACATGATTTTAAATTCCCTGAAGAGAGTACAGATGGGCTGTGTAATTATTGCTGAGAGGTGCTATTTTTCTGTGTGCTCTACAACTCACATTCATAATATTTACCTGACAGCCAGAAAAATGTGGCCATCTCAGAATGCTCTGAAACACTTCTTCTCACAATAGAAACATTTCCCATTACAGAATTTCTAACATCAGTAATTTCATATCTCTCTGTGCATTCGATCCATTATGAATTGTCTTCAGAATATTGCAACATTTATAAAATCAACCTTCTCTACAATGTATGTGATTTTTCATGTTGTTAGATTTATTCTGTCCTGTTCCATAGCAGGCAGCTGATTGCTGGGTGGGACTGGGATATGTTGGAGGAGTGACATGGGAGACACAGGAGTTTGTTTGCTTCTTAGAAGGTTAATTTTTGTGGCTGTATTTGAGGTGAAGGAGGAGGGAGTGTACGAGTTTGTATTTCTTTATTCACTGATTCAGAGAAATTACTCTGCTGAGAGATGTTCAGATCCTTTCAAAGTGCATTAAATACCCTTCTCATCTCCTCCTTTGGAGGGAGGCTGTCCCTCTCCCTGCAGTGCCAAGAACACCTGGCTCCTAACCACCCTTATTGAGAAGCCTTAAGCATTGAGAACT